TGTTCTGTACGCTCTGATGCTCCTAAAACTCTGATGTATAAAGAATAATGAAAGTAACAGCAGATCTGCTCTTTGTTCTTTAGACATGTATTGCTAATAGCCATTTTGAAAATACTTTGCCAATTTTTCAGGATGGGAGTTTGTACCACGTCCACAGCCAGAAGTGTGTTGAGGCAATAGACAATACAGACAACGGGACACCAGCACCCTCACTCCAACCCTGCTCTGATAGCCTCCACCAGAAGTGGTTCTTTGAAGAGAAAATGTAATACTCCAACCCTAGGATATGTTTTTCTTAACCTTAACGGACGTCAAATGAGGTTGTGCTTCCTTTCAAACTTAAACCTCCTATAAATTCTTGCTCACTGGGTGAAATCTATCTGTATTTACTTTCTACAGTACTTACTGGATACTGCATATACACTTGTTGGGAAAACCAAGCCTATAGGACTATGCATTATTTTTCTCATTAAAGAAACAAGTGCTGCTTTGCACATGGGAATATTTTTGGGGGGCTGGTTTTCATTTACCTACTCCACGCCTGTTGCAGTCTTTTAGTTTGCATGCAAAGCTTTACCCAGAAAGAGGGAAAGGCACAAAGAAAGCTGTGCATCCATATAGAAAGAAAACAGCGGCTTCATAAATCTGTCAGCAAACTCTGACCATCTTACGAGCTAGCATCTGGAATTGCAGTGATGTTCAGAGGCATGTCATGAGGCGTTATTTTATATTCTTGTCTTATCCTCTAGAGGGGGCTAAATCTCCTTTCTGTACATTCCCTTCTTGTATTGGGCTCTCTTTCTGAGTAGGAAGTGGAACAATTTTTCAGGTATTTAGTTGAGAGCCTTTTCAGGACATTTAAAGTGCTTGTCACTCCTTGCTACGTACCAGGGACTTAATAAAAAAAAAAAGGCATTGTGCAAGTACCTAGTACCTCTTCAACGTAATCACCAACTACTGATAACAGGAGAATCTCCATATGTATTCTGTTCTTGTGTGCTTTGTAGGAATATGAATCGGAGGTAAAAATGGCTTAGACCGTTTTGCTAGCTTTTAAAATATTTTTTTTTCCCAGCATAATTCTGTTTTGTGCTCTTTAATGAAATGCAGCTTGAAAAGACTAAATTATAGCCATAATTTAAGGATTCACTTCATGTGGTGTGTCAAGTATGTTTTTAAATGATTTATTTTAGAGATGAGTTTAATTATTGTGTAATTTTGAGGCAATTCGTATGCACAGACGTGGAAGCGTTCTCCCTTACGAATCGCTCTGTGGGGTTGCCCTGATCTCGTTCTGTGTCCATCTGTTAGGCTCAGAAAACTATAGATCCCTCTGAAGCGCCGCTGTGGTCACTAGTGTGGCTGCCCTGCAGGCTCTGCAGGGAGTCCAAGGGGAACACAGTGGAGGAGCAGACGGTTGTCGGTGTCTTCAGGCTGCTGGGATGCCAGATGGTTTCCTGATTGATTCTCTGGTCCTCTTCAAATTCTTTATCACCTCTTCTTTCTATGTGTGTCAAAGGTGTTCAGTGGAGGGCTTATCTTTTGGACTCGCGCCAGCCAAATCCTCCTCAGATGAATACTTGTATACTTGTGTGCTTTGGGTTTGATTTATGAACATAAGACATAAAGAGCAGAGTTTGTGACAGCAGAAGCAGATGATGGAGGAGATTGAATGAAGCAATTTGCGACCTTTTTCTCACCATTAACCTTCTCAGGCTGTTTGCCCATCAGTCTGAAAGGAGTTCTGTTATAAACTGATGTTAGGGGACTTTTGTGCTGAAATGGATTTTTGTTATTGATTGAGAATATATGCTCATAAAATGAAAGAGCAGGAAAAGAAAAAGACATTTTATACAGTGTCATTGCTGTGACTTGAGCAGTCAAGATCCCTTCTGTTGCCAAATTGAATGAATGTAAGGCCTCAGTCACACAGGCATAAAGACCTGTTGGTGACCATCTGGCAACAACCGGTCACAAGGGAAAAATGTGTATTCCTCGACAGGTTGCAGATGGTTGCTGGAGGATGCTAGCAGTGGCTGTGAAATTGATTGCTAAAACTCCATGAGACCGGTCAGTGAGTGAAAACCTTGAGTTTGCTTCGGTTGCAGGCAGTTTGTCGCTAGTT